CTTGGTAATTATATGTAATTTCCACGTAAGCTTTTGAGGTCGGTTTTTTTAGGACTCTTTACTGAGATGATTACTTTTAAATAACACAAAAAAACTTGTGATTTCTCAAGGACACCCTAAAAATGTCATTATAATTATTATATATATGGTAATAATCAAATAAATTATTTAAAAAAATTAATTTAAAGTTCAATGCGTGACACAAATTCTTGGACTGGCTTTGCAGTTTTACTTAATTTATGAGAATATAAAATTGAACGCAATGTACGCGATTTAAAAAAATTCGGAATTTTCAGACATAGAAATTTCCACAGTTTGATGCGGCATTTTGTTTCGGGGAAATCTTAGTCCTGCTGAAAAAATGGTGTTTGTAGTACTGGAATCCAAAGTGTCTCTAAAAGTCGAACTTTGAAATATTTAACATTCTTATATTGGCGTGAGCAATCCAAGGCAGTTTTTGTTCCTTGGTTTGCTCACTGCAGTACTTTTTTTAAGGGGTATATAATTATTAAGAGCCATCATTTATATTATTTTTATAAATCTGACACTGGCGAATCAGAAAAGAGAATATCCGCAAAAGAACCTGAGTAACAGACGTAGCCTAAAGAATTGCAAAACTGAAGTGTTAGTGGGCGAGGCATATTACTCATAAAACCGATAGCCGATGGGGCCAATGAGTTTTCAAGTGGCGACCGCGTACCGAAAGACGCACCTTTTTCAGATCACCCACAAAGTGGACCGGTGACGTCCGCTGGATGCAAGAAGCCTAAGACCGGTCGTTGTGGCGCTCTTGGGGGTTAGGTTGTGGGAACGCTGTTGGTGCTCGTGGAGTTCTGTTGATTATAATATTGCTGGGAGAGTAGTATAGTACTCTCCGCAGCTTCCGAAGCCTCTTACTTAGTAGTTTAAAGTTCATAGTTCAAAAGGGTAAAGAATTAGTGGTAATAAATCCAGTTTTATAAGTATTTATTCCAGTTTTAACATTATTTACTATCTTTAAAATGTTTATCGCACAGGTGATTTTTAATAACTGGTAAACTACTGGGAAACAAAATCAGAATGCGAGGCAAAAGAACTATGGAAATTCAAAATTTAAATTTAAATGCGAGTGGCCAGGAACCGGAGAAAGGCGATAAAAAGGTGGGATGACGATGTACAGAGGTCACACCGTCACAAGGTCTTTCGGTTTAAGTGATGATGATGATGATGATACTGTCGAAATGTTAAAAAAGTCTTTGCCAACGTCCAAATGTCCAAAATCTGCCATTTAACAACCTTTATAACTGTCGTGGAACAAAAACTCTATACAAAAAGTGTAAAATTATTACGTTACGAGTATAACGATACTTCCAATGAATACTATGCTAACTTAATTTTTGGACCCATTCTGTTTTTAGTTTTTTAATTTTTTTTTTTTTCACGAAATTCGGGGATAATAAAGTCAATAAATATGGCTGTTTACAAAAATAACAGAAAATGACCAAAAAATAAAGTTGGCGTAGTGATAATTTGAGATGTCGATAATGTGCAACATCTGCCGTATTCAAAATTCGCGGATCGCATACCCCCTCAGCTCTTTCAGGTTATTACTATCAACAGTATTTTAAAATAAACATTTCAAATTACAGACATGAACAAATGCTATTTACAAACAACACTACATTGTTCTCAAACGAATCTGCCTTATTAACTTTGAACTCATGTGCTTGCCTGCAAAATAAAAATATTTGAATTGCTAAGCTCGTAGCGCGGGTTCAACGGCGAACTACTTTTATACTGATTAGAAAGAAAACCGCAACTACTCCACACACTATCGTCGTACCTCTGATGTGGATTATAGCACTGGTTTTCATAAAACTCAGTGCATTAGAACTTTACTACTGAACCTCTAGCGGTGCGATGTTGCGGTTTATGTTTTCCGCTTTATAAAGATATTTATTTGATCTCATTTTGTTGCTACAATTATAGAATAAAGCTTAATAATTAAACATTGAGATCCAAAATGTCTTCACTCAGCATTTGCCGGGTTGTGCATGCAAAAGCAATCCGACGCTGATATTCTACGATAACAATCAACTACAAAACATAATGTAAATGTAAAACATAAAAAAAAACACTATTTAATATAAAAGTAAATTTATTAAAAGTTTATTCCAAAACAAATTATTATATTAACTATATATTATTAAAATTATAATCTAAAACAAAAAGGTAAAATGAAATATAGTATATTACACTCATTAAAGATTATAAATCTTTATTGTTATCATATTGCATTTAGATTTTAAATTTACAAAATAAATACACGTTACGCCTAACCAATATATCATTTGTCACATATTTCTATGCGACAAATGATATATTGGTTATCTAACAAATATTGTTTAAAATTACAGACCCGAAACTAAAATAAATTCCACGAACACAGAAATCTTTATAAAGCTATGTGCGATATAAATGCAACGTTCATATTCGCGACCAATCTTATTCTCTCCAATCGTACCATATTATTATATCATGAATTTAAAGTGAAGGCATTAGCATTCTCAGAAAGTACATACATTGCCTCGGAACCCTCGCATGTTCAGGAATACATAAACCTACTCGTAATTAATTCCGTAGTATTCTCAGCTATACATAATTGTATCGGTGCAGTGTAGCCATGTGCTCGTTTCGCAGAAGGCTCGGCGCCGGATTGTTATAGGTGTGTGAAGTTTCGCGTTATTAAACGTCACTACAGTAGTGATTGTTGAAGGTTCGTTTATATATGGTGGCCTGACAAAAGACACGCATTTACCGAACTTATCAGATGGCAATTATTATTGCAACAGGTCTTTATAAATATTTATTGTAGACCGTTTATATCTTCCTACTGTACTTGAACCTATATACTGTATTTTGGTAGTCAGCCGTGACCATGGCACCTGCAAAGAGCCCGAAACATTCATTTGTTCTGAAAAACAAAAATACGCGATCTTAGATTCGAAATAGTATTTTGTGCAATCGTTGCATAATGAGGGTTCTTGAAGTCTGATACTGTGTTTAATCTAAGTAATAGATACGAGATTTTAAGACCTAATTGTGTAATGATTGCGTACAATACTTTTTCTACGAGAAAATTTAAATAAAGAAACAAAAAACCAGATAGATAGAATAGAAGAGCCTTTCAATTGCCAAGTATACCGCTTACTTTTTAACCAAACAGGTGGCGGTAGAGCCATTTGAGTAACGTCATAATTTATATTTTACATTGTTTTTAAATAATTATGTAGTTCCTTTTTGCCAACTGGTTACGCCATATTAGCTGTTAAATAATATCTCAAAATATTTATTTCGAAATATTATTTAATAAAATAATTTGAATTTTAAGAATTTAACAAATAAATATTGAAGGTATTCTGTTGAGGAACACAAGATACTCTTTTCATTTTTCCAAAAACACGTTCTTTTTTTAAACTATTATAGTTCTGTATTTTTTTCAGTACAGTAGCGAGCTAAAATTCTATTGTCTATTGTAATAGACAACAGAATTTTAGTTCAGAACTAAAAAGCTTGTCTGTGTGATATGGTTTATGAAATTATAATAGACAGATTATTGTACAGGAGCAGTAAAAAATATTTGTAGCAATCGCGACAACTTATGAAATCGATTTGTATACTGTACTTTAGCTATACATTATAGTCTCTATGTAGGTAGAGTAAGTGGCTTTGTACTAGTTGAAGATTTCATATGTTTAGATGGGTTAATAAAACTCAAATTTGCTGGGTCCTTTAAAATGTCTTCGTCGTTAATAAATAAGTTGCTTCTCTCCTTTGTTATTGCGTTATGCCTAGAGTTCTCTCTGCCTATACTCGTCCATCTTTTTTTCTTATTATATCAAGTGACGGGACATACAAGCGTGCGCCTGGTGGTAAGCTACACTCCTATCCATAACAGTGCTACTCAGAGCTTTAAATCGCAAAGATCTGAGGCGCATTGCCACTGCGCCCGTCACCCTGAGACATAAGTTGACAAGTCCCATGTGCCTGTAATTTCACCAGGACCCTTACCCATCAAAACCAGAACACAGTAATGCGGACATTACTGCTGGGCGGCAGAAATAGGTAAGGTGGCAGTACTTCCCTGGACGCTCTCTTTCACAGAGCTCTACTGCTACTACCATCCCTTCGGCAAGCGCTCTGACTAGGCTACCACCGCGTTTTTTCTATATCGAACCAGAAATTTATAATAATCATCGGATGTGATAAGACATTCATGACTTTACAGTTAACTTTTATATGAATCACACTGCTGAGCACGAGTCTTATCCAAGAACCTTATGTTTGAATAGCTTCGTTGACGCACCGCTCTTCAATGAGGCCGTAACACGAAGAAATTTAGTCCCGTAAAGTTTGCGTACACAGGATGTAATTACTCCAGTCATAGATTATTTTGATAACACAATCAACTAACAGAACACTATGATGAACACAGCACAATAAATGTGTGTAGGTTTCTACCCAAAGTCGAAGCCTTATTATGATTTATTACACGCGCTTTTCTCTTCTGGACAATTGACAAAATTTATATAAACCAAATTATTCTTTCTTCATTACCAAAAGCGTGCACATTATGCCTGTTATAAAACGACATTAAAGAAAATTATCTTCTTCAGTTAAAATCTAAGTGTACACCCGTAGCAGTAGAACTAAAGAGATCGTCCAGGGAACTAATGCCGTCATACCCGTTTCTGCCACCAACTAATAATATGAGTTTTACTGCGATCCGGTTTTGAAGGGTGCTGTTGGTGAAACTATACCTATGCACATGGGAAATATCAATGTTTATCTCACTTCTTTGCGATTTAAAGCTCTGAATGGCACTGCAACTATTATGGGTAACAATGACACTTACCACCAGGCGTATGACTTATCTATTCATCCCGTCACTTGATAGCATAAAAAGTATATCAAAACAATGTAAAATACAAGAGAAACAAACTAATCAAATTGGTTTCCAGTTGTTAGTAGACTAAAGTGTCAGTTGTATTCAAATACAAGTTTAATGATTAAGCGATAAAACACGATACACGAATCAATACTCAAACAATACAATACACATATTAATAGTCGTGACACATATTAACAATGATGGTGTTACTGCAGTTTGTAGTACATTACGTGTTGTGAGTGCGAGTGTTGTGTGACCATGGCAGTGGAGCAGTGATGCATAAGGCGCAATGGCGTGGCCGGGCGGGTCGGCAGAGCTGCAGCAGACGCCTGGCGACAGGCTGCAAGTCCCACACACTTCTATCCGTAGTCGAAGCAGAAGAAGAAACAGTGAGTATTTCAGAGTGTTCTTAGAAATGCAATTTTATATAATGCCACTTCATTACCACGTCTTTATTTTTGTAAAGAAACAGGGAACACATTCCAGGTTTTGTATAATGAAGCTTATTCAGGACCTATGCAGCTATTTTTAAATGTTGACTAAATGATTTTTAATTTTTTGTAAACTACTCGTATTCTTTCGGGCTACAATGTTATGTTATATTATTTTCGATTACATATATTACAGCAACAGCTGTCAGAGATGACATCTGGATGAGTTGTTATGTTATGTTATGGTTTCATAGTTTGTTCAATCAATTAATATGTTCGGTAGTTACTTTATACAATTATATGAATCAACTGTACCTATATGTAAATTGGGAACATATTAAATATTATTGTGATCAACTGACAATGCGGACTGATTGGCTATGAATTACGTGCATTACGTATAATCTCTATATCTCTGTAAGCCCTTGTCTATAAATTAGACAAGGGCTTACAGAAACGTGGTGAATGAACAAACACCTGCCACTTGGTATAATAAACAAAACGCGTAACGAATCATAAAGAAAGCTTATTTCGTCAAGGATAAACATTAAAAGCAATATCTTCCTGTAATTGTGTAATGTGCAAAAAAGACATAATTGACTTTAGAAAAAATAAAGAAATTAAGTAATATAGAAAATAAAGAAATCTGAGAAAATAGAGTTGAGTGAACTCAACTCTATTCTCTCAGACAAAAGGCGAAACTCAAAGAGTTTTGTCTCTAGGCCAGAAAATTTACTCAGTATGTCAAATTTGTTCTAAGAGTTTTGTCTCTAGGCCAGAAAATTTACTCAGTATGTCAAATTTGTTCTACAAAAAATATCTAATGATACCTGAAACAGTTTCAGTTTATGTTCTATGGTTTCGGATTTCCCGTAGAGGGAGAATTGGGTAGAGGGGCTCAATAAATAATAAAAACCGTATAAGCGAGATAGATTTATGCACAGACATATCAGAGTAAACGAGAAAACAATATTATTTTTTGTCTTTTTCTACGTATGCGGTTTTGGTTGTATGACTCAACGCTCGTTGAGTCCAGCACATCCTTCCGAGTGTTTGATGTGCATCGATTTTATGTGTTTGTGATTTTAAGAAGTGTTTTTTATAAAGAGCACTGATGATTCAGTGCTCTTTTCTCAGACAAAAAGTGAGTTTTGTCTCTTGGCCAAAAAATTTACTCAATATGTCCATAACTTTTTTAAATAATAATATTGTGTTTTTTAACGCTAAACTACTCAGTTTCTTGTAAGGATCGTTATAGTAACGGAAAAATAATCGGGGCGGGTCGGCGGGTCTAAATGTTTCATTCTTCTTAATAAAGCACCACTAACATCTAATTTGTACCACCAGTACAAATTTGATTGCTAATATCTTGATACCTGACATTTTAGTAGGTTCTGTCACTACATTTGGTTTGCATTGATGTCAATCATCAATTCGTGTACATTTTATATGTAGCCACCATTTTGATTTTTTAAATTTATTTGTTCAAAATCTATAGTAAAAACTACAGGTTCTACCAAGGGGGAGTTTGGTTCATCGTTTTACAAATTTAACAGTAATAATAAAATGACAACATCAAGAATAATAATAAAAAAATGTGTTTACTTCTGTGGAATAGAAGTTATGAACAGAATTTAAATTTTCAAATAAAAGAGGATCCCATGAAAATCGAAAAAAGCCAATAAGTAAACTTTTGAAGTCAGTTTTTTTTTTTTCAATGAAAAGTTACAATTATTTGAAACACGTTACATAACAGGCATGTTTATTCTGGTATAGAATCACTATAACATATTCCAAGCTTTAGTTTTCAGCTTTCAGAACACGCTTTGAAACTTCATTTTTCAAATGTATAAATGAATATACCTAATATGTATACGCATACCATTATACAGGACGAATAATAATGTTTAGGTATACTACTATTGATGAAAACAAAACTCTTCTACGTTAAAAGGTTTCCGTTGAACAATGTATTTGTCTAGTACATTAACTGTATTCTAATTTAGTAGATAAACAAAATGGCCGGTAATTTTGGTCGAAACCTAGGCAATGAACTGGACATTACCATGCGCTATCGTTTCGAGGCGTCATGTGTCACTTCGCCCCGCGGCGCCGGCTGCGGTCATTGCACACGTTGTATTCGCAATGGAAATTACACGGGCAATTTATATTTCGGTCATAATTATCCTACAGAAGAGAAAACATTCTAAAAATGTTAGACCACACCGGGAAATGTTCTTTCGTTGATAAGTAAGACTATTGATTGTCTAAATATAACCTGTTACGCTTGTAGGTATATTTAAATGAGGCTTCAATATTATTAGGGTGGCTTCATTCAAGGCATGCGCAGCCCTCGTCACTGCGACCATGAATTACTCTCTACTGATAAAAAATAAGCTTTTAGCGTGGCAGTTAAAAAGAAAAGGCAGGAGACCCAAGTAGAGGCTTTCTGTATTGGACCAGTGTGGTGTAGTCGTTCACAGCATACAGACGAAAATGTCAGTCAAAAAAGGTCCCAACAACAGCAGTTATAAACACGTTAAAGGCGGAGCTTGTTTGAGTTTTCGCAAAGCAACAGCTTAATACAAAACGTATTGTATTAAAGAATTTAGTATCGCTTTCCTGTCACCTCAGTTTATAACAACTAGTTTTTAATTTTTAGATCAACACGAGAACGTTTATCATCGTGTTTGGAACATCTCAAACGATTTAGATGTTACTTATCTTTATAGTATCATGGTTCACCTATCCTGCGATATAACTGTTCATGAAAGCGATAAATAAAATACCTACTTTACCGCGATACTAAATGTATTATTAGTTAGCATTAGTGAAGAGTGGATATTTTGAAAAGAAAAACATGTCTATCTCGTGCAATTAGTCTATATAAGTTAACGCCATAGTATTGATGCTACTGGCTTACCCCACCAATACCTTGTCACATAAATAGCCAAGGAGAACACTGAATGTCACAGGTAATTACTGAACAATTATTTCCAAAAACAGAAACACGCCCGCTATTATTGTTTAGAACAAAATGAAATAGTATATACTTACTTATTATGAATGTACTATTATGCCACGGCACACTTAGGATATGTAGATATTTTTTTATTTTACCCTTATGTGATTCCCTAATCACCACACTTATCACGCGGAAACTGTTTGATCTGGCCAGAAAAATCTTTGCGTCCAGGAAATTAGAGCGAAAAAGACGTTCGATGTTTTTCGCTTTTGCTCGGACTGAATTTATACGATTCCAATTCGATAAGTGTAGTTACTCCCTAAATTAATAATGCAACTTAGGGTCGTATTCCAGAACTCTACTCAATACTCAAGTCAAGACTTGAGTATTGCAGTGAGCACTGAAAATCATACTCAAGTCCTTGCCATTAGGGTCGTATTTCCAGTACTTGAAATCATACTAAAGTCTGCTCAAGTCCTGACCTGAGCATTGAGTAGAGTTATGGAATACGACCCTTACAATCTTAACCACCAAAACGAGACAATTCGCGTTTCTCGCTTGCACCTCTGCAGTGCTAATAATTTAACGCCATCCCAACCGAGTTTCAGTAGCAATTGCAGTAGAGCTCCTTGTGAAAGGGTTGTGACTCACAACTTGTGAGCATTGTCGTGACCATTGGACTTGTCATGTCTCAGGGTGACAGGTGTAGTGGTAGAGTCCCTCGGATCTTTGCGATTTAAAGCTCTGAGTGGCACTGCAACGGATTTCGGACGTCATTTCGTATTATAAAATAAATTTGACCTACCGTATAAATTCGCTTAGGTGTTGCCACGATATAAGACATGGTTGTTACTTCCTAGGAGTAAAACGACAGCTCGCCTCGTCGGACAAAACAGTCGGGCGTTTTATTTGTTTCAAATTAAGCAAAAGCTTATTATTTATGTTTTTTTTTATTTATATGCAAACTTCACAGCTTTGAAACTTGGTTTACAATTCTGAATAATCTACTTACATAGTCAATTACAAAGTTTGTCAGATTACAATACATTTTTTTACGTTACATAAAAACTACGATGCCAGAACGAAGCGACTTAAAATATTGTTTATCAAAGAACAATCTAACAAATTGAAATACATATTGATAAAATATTATAACTGAATTCCGTTGTATTAATAGATTTATATATAATTTTTTTAATTACTATATTTTTTAAATGACGCGACTAATGGACAAAACAAATGGACTACACTAGAGTATGCGCATTTGTGTGAATGTGTGTATGTATGTTTTTGCTCTGTTTATATAACAATGATTACCTTTTAAAATGGGGGTGTTCCTTTAAAGAATTAATAAATTTGTTGCGGTTCAAAAAGAAGATATCAACGTCTTTAAATTTGTCCTCGTAAGCACGCACAATTCTATGCAAAACAGAGTATTTCGCGTAGTTTGAACGGCTGAGCCCGTGTGAAAGGAGCGCATATGTAGTGTAAGTGTCGGTACGAGTTATGATAATACAAAGATCGAACACATTTTCAAAAATCTCTCACTAGATGTCACTAGCAGCGTCGAGTGCCGAAAGTACAAAAATCTATAACAAAAACACAAAGGAGAACTTTGACAGCTTGGTAAATTGACCTTTTGATAAGAGCAATGCTACGGTGCAGTCGTGGGTTCAAGTCCCACCGGGTTGAAGAAATTTTTCTATGTGTTTGATCTTTATATTAATAATCATGAGCACAAGTTGTTAATACAGATTAGTATTATTATTAATATTATGCCTCGGTTAACCAATTATTTAAGACAACTCGATGTCGAGTTGATAGATTTTTTGCCAGTGTTTGGTTGGGTACATATGATTACAGCATATCAATTGATGGGTGCATAATAACGTCAAAAATAAATTATTGCCTGAAAACTGTGAAAATGTAAACAACAAACCGTACAGCGTAAACTGTGCCGTCACACTTGTATCCCACTGAGCTAGGAAAATAT